CCTGCTGCAAAGAGCTGCTGCAAGAGAAGCCCTTCAGGAACAGCATAGAAAAGCCGCCGCTCCCCAGCAGCCACCGGAGCTCGGAGGAGTATTACTCCTTCCATGAGTCTGACTTGGACATCAGTGAGCTGAATGGCTCCATGTCCAGCAGGCAGATCGATGTCCTGATCTTCAAGAAACTGACCGAGCTCTTCAGCGTCCACCAGATTGACGAGCTGGCCAAGTGCACGTCGGACACCGTCTTCCTGGAGAAGACCAACAAGATCTCGGACCTCATCAATAGCATAACTCAGGACTACAACCTGGATGAGCAGGATGCTGAATGCAGGCTGGTCCGAGGCATCATACGCATCAGCACCCGGAAAAGCAGGGTCCGGCCCCATATTTCTGTTCCAGCCAGCCAGAGCCATGAGGAGAAGTCCAGCAGAGGCAACGCACCAGACAGTGGGAACGAAACGATGCTGGAGTCCATGGTCATCAGCCAAGACGGTATGTCTGGGTTCCTTGGTGTTACTGCTTCAAAACGAGAGGGTTATTTTATCAAAGCCATGGAAATGGGACAATGGAGCAGGGTTGAAAGCTGGTGTCTGTCTTCAGGCTGGGCTTATTTTCCTGGGATGTGCGAATGGAGGTCCTTGTGTTTTACTGGAGACCTCTGCTTCTCACCAGTTGTTGCGCTATGACTTTCTTGACAGCATCTTTCACTGTCGGTGAAGTTTGTACAATATAAGGGCTTATTCTGTTGCTACTGCAACGATTCTGGCTTTCCTCCGCACCTCTGAGCTAGGCAGAAAGACCATGAGTCAAACTTAACTGGTATGACCAGACGAGCTGGCTTGTGCCAGAGGATGTCCAGTTACTCAGCTGGCTCTCTCCCTCGTGTTCTACCAGTGCTCTTTGCTAATGCCACCCTTAGACTCCTGTGACCGAGTGCCTCCTTGGAGGCTTCCTCTACACAGTGGGGTGAGGAGCAGCCAGTAAATATCCCTGCTGAGAGGAGGGAAGGGCTGCAGCCGCAGCCAAAAAAAAGGGACGCTTTCCTCCGTGTCTGGAGCAGCCTGAAGCAACCGGCCTCCAGAACGGGTTGTAAGAGAGCTTGGCGTAGAAAGACCTTGAAAAGCTGAGTATGGCGGGCGAGGAGACATCCAGAAGTAAGGGAGGAAACAGAGTGGCTGTTGTGCTTCCCAGTTTAGCAGTAAAGCTGCTGTTGCTTCCTGGTATTGAGGGACTATAAAGCTCGGATTACCAAAACAATGGTGGAAGCAATGCGAGGAATCGGACTCTCCCTCCCCTATTACCTGAGGGTGGTGCCTTCTGAGAGAAGGAGAGCCCTGTGCCTTCCCTGATGGGGATTTTACTCTTGAGTCATAGCTGCCCTTCCTTGCCTGTCTCAGGCCTCCTTGGTTTTCATTCCAGATCTGGCCGTGCAAATATCGGAAGAAACCCCAGCAGATGTGATAGCCAGGAACATGAGGCGGCACAGCAGCGCAGGTAACGTCCCGGGCTGGGGGTCCCCTGTGGTGAGGAGAACACCCTGAACCTCTCGTGTATGTCTTCAGTTTTCACCATCTGCAGAGGCTGAGCTGACCTCTTATGTTACCGTAAGGGGTGTAGTTCTCTCGAGCTTTGGGAGTGAAGGAGGCTCCAAAGGGATCTGCCTGGGTTGGTGGGTCCTCCTGAAAGAGAGCGAAACCCAAGTATGGAGCGTTCTCTGTCCATGCACGGTACCTGGCCTGAGAGCTGTCAGTCTCCGGGTATCCTGACAAAGTTTGGGGCTGTACTCGGGGTGTGACCAGCTAAGGTCACAGCTGGGTTATACTGGGAACAAAAGGAACTGTGCAAAAGGGAAGCAGGGGAGAGTGACGGGCTGTCCCCTGAGCACTGATCCTCGCGGCATGCGTGCTCCACTCCAAAGAGCAGCCCAGGGCTAAAAGACAAGTTTTCTCCTGCGTAATAACAGATCTCTCTGAGAAGATGGCTACAACACAGGCAGGGTTGTTCCCTGCCTGTGGGCTTTGTGTGGCTTTCTCCTCCCTCATGATACACAAAGCCTTTTGTGGCAGCTCCTTGCCTAACTGCCAGGCGCTCCGCTGCTGTAATTCACGTTGTCTAATGTCACCATCTCTTCTCTTTCCTCTCCAAGGCTCTCCAACAAGCAGAGATTCCTCTTTCCAAGACACAGAGACTGACTCATCTGGGGCACCTCTGCTTCAGGTGTATTGTTAAGGAAAAGGACCCAAGCAGCAGGCAGGCATTTCGAGGCTTTACTGCAATCAGATTTCTCCTCTTTCAATATGGAGTGTGCTGTGCCATTTTTTTTTTCCCCCCAGTCTACCCTGATCCTCTGTTGAAGCCAATTTTCTCCTGCTGTCTGAATTTCACTGGATACTTTTTTTTTTTTTGGACAATATAGAACATTACAGAAGTGAACTGGGAGGCTAATGAACTTGGGAGGTGGAATGTATGCCCAGGGAGGAGAAGATGGACAAGGAAGTATCAGCTAACTTGTGCCTCTATGATTTCCATACTTCACATTTAGTTTCAACAACCGCAGTGGCCCAGCCCTTTCCCAGCTTTGAGGATCTGTTGTACAGTTCTTGCTTTCTGGCATTGCATAAGTTAACTTGAGTAGGGGATGACTGGACGGTGTCTCAGTGTTTGTGCTGATGCTGAGGTGAAGGCCAAGCACCTGCTCTTTAGGGACCCAAATTTCTATCTAAAGTGGCTGGGTTGGTCCCAAAAACGTTAAGTCCTCTATCCATGGTGTTTGCAGTAGCCAAATCTGCCTTCTTCCTGCTGCCCCTCAGTGGTGTCGTCTCCTCCTGCCTTCTAAGGAGAAAGTTCAGGTAATGTGGCCATCTAATCTTTGGCCTTGTGGAGTGTCTCCTGGGATAGTGCCAACTGCAGGGGGGTGGGATGCCCGGACGGCTGCCCTGCGCTCATCTCCTGAGCAGACCACGGGGATCAGCTTTGCAGTCGCTGCCAGTCTGATGAGAGCTGCGGGCATGAGGTGTTACCAATGGCACGCATTGACCTGTGACTTGCATGCCAGGCAGCTCTTCCTCACTCATCCACCACCTCTGCTTTGCCCCGCTGTGCTTGGTGTCCTGCTGACTGCTGGGGCAAGCCTTGAACTCGGGTCATGGCAGGGCAGTGAAATAGTCGGTTCATTTTTAGGGTTTTGTAATTAAGAATTGGGCTGTTCGACTATTCTGCTAGAAACTCCCTGGAAAGTGGTTTGTTTGGAAAGGAAAGCCTCGCAGAGGGTCTGTGAGGAGCTGCTTGGTCCTGCCTTTTCCCTGTGGGTGCCTTCTCCTTCCCTTTGCTCCCCCTAATAAAGCAGCAGGAGATGGTATCGCTGCCCCGAGGGCACGGCCGCTGGGCGACCTTGAGGGCTGCAGCGTTGCAGCAGGAGGAAGCTGCCTCTTACTGCTCTTGCCACTTGGTGGTTTATCACAAAGTAAACACGTGAAGCCATGGGACTTGTTTATACGTTCGGCTGCCCTTGGACATGAATAGAAAACGCTTAGTTGAATTTACCAGCAATGGAATAAACACACTCGCTGTTTTTCGGGGAGAGGGAAGCCAAACTTGGCCCCGTGCTTTGGTGTGAACCGTGGTTTTGTGCCTTAATTCCACTGAATTGTGCCTTAATTGGACTGAAATGTGCTTTTAGTTCATAGCCTGTGATTACTCTTCCAAAGGTTGGGTAGAGGGGAGAGGGTTTAATTCCTCACATGAGCAGTCGGGCTTATTTAACTGGCCAAAGCCCTGGGAGATGTACAGCTCCAGTCCCTGTTAGAGCCTGGTTTTGCGGGCTCGCGTTTCGGAACGTGCTTTCATAAATCACGGACATCACTGAGACCACACCTTGAGACACTGACGGAGAGAGATTTCGAAAATAAAGGGGAAGAGACCAAGACCTGGATCTGGCTTCCCCTCCCTGCTTTGTTTTTAAAGCTGTTGGTTTGTGGAAAAACCCCATTTATGCGAGGAAAAGACTCGAAGCGAGGCCAGCCCGGGACTGCTGGAGGAGCTGCGTTTGGTCACTCTTCTTCCAGATGCCACCTGTGCCCATGGACCTGTTTGGTTTCCTGCTTCTGAATGGATTTGGGCATCCGTTATTTGGACAAGTTTCCTTCAACCTGTGCACTGAGGTGTCAGCATGGGTCACGCTGACATGCAGCGCCGTGGTCTGTGCGCTGGAGCTTTGGAGACGAGGGGAGAGGGTGGGCTCGCAAAGAGCTGCCGATGGCTACTACAGATGCAATAGCACGTTTTTAATGTTTAGGCTGTGTATGAAGAGCGAACGTGTATGGATTAAGCTTGCAAAAAAAGCCAACCCCAAATCAAAAAAAAATCCCCAAAAACTCACTGAGGAAAACTGTCAACTCGATGGTCCCTGAAGTTGTGGTGTCTTACGGGATTCTTTTGCACTCCTTGGCCTTAAACGTCCGATTTGGTCTTTTTTTTTATAAAGCAAAAGATGTGCTCTTTACCTGTGCTGTGTCTTTTACATTCCTGTTTGCATCATTTTGGGAGAGCATCCCTCAGCGGGGGGAGCCTGGGCCGGGCGGAGTGGGTTTGCACAGGGGGCTGCTGATCCCTGTTTTCCTGTTTTCCCAGCAGCACATCGACAAAGATATTTCCGTCCATGTGGCAGCGCCTGTCCGAGCCGAGCCCCGGGGAGTTGTGCCCAGGGCTGAATGCCGGGGAGGTGGGGAAGCTGGGTGCAAATAAAGGAGCCTCTGGAGAAGCATTTGCATGCAGGGAAACCTGGGCCTTCCCTGAGGGTGATGCTGGAACTGAGCGCTGGAAAAACTGAGCCTGAGGGCAGAACTTCCAGCTTGTTCCCTCTGGCAGAGATGGCTGTTGCTAGAAAATGCAGGAGTTGCTCCGGAGCAGCTGCTGTCCCCGATGGTGGGGCAGGACCTGCTTGCAGAGGGGGCCTGGCACAGCCTCTGGCCCTGCGAC